TGTGCACCCTTCTACTTAAACTCAAATTGTTGAATTGATTTTACTCAATTTCCTTCTAATTCCTTCGCTCAGATAAAGCCAGACATTGATACATAAATCATTCCAATAAATTTTATCTGGTTGCAAAGCATTTCTTTGGTTTTTAAGCCTATCTCAGCGTCAGGACTGTCAGCTTATTGTTACTTTGCAGATTCTGATGTTTTACAAATATTCCTCTGCTCCACGTCTTTCTAATCTACATATGTATCCTGTCAACTTGCTACCCTCAACCACATCAAGAGAAAAGATAATCTCATTTGCTGTTTGTGGACCTTGCATAGGTGCAAATTAGCTGCCAGCTTACCAACAAAAATAACAGAGACGATAATTCAAAACTAATTCATTAACCCTGAAGAAGTTTGGTGTGTTTAGATGGGATGATAAATGTTGCAAAAATGTAGTTTTTCTCTTGTGTTAAAATTATGCACAACAAATGACCCATATAAACATATTGTTAGCATTAAAAATGGTTAAACTGCAATACTATCACATGCATCTCATCAAATATAAATCTACACATGGAAATCCATTTTTTCTATTATTTTTGGTTTTGCTGGTAGTTCATCATTGATTTTGAACAAAATCACTTTTGTTTGTAATTTCATGTGATTTACTGTTTACCTTCATTAGCTTTTTGATTATATAAGCCTCGCTTCCTTTGAGTTAAATCCTTCATGTTAGCTCCAAAATTTTATCAGCTTTAATTGGTTGTGTAATTCAGTTTGTAACTATGAGTTTGCAGCCAATGTCACTGTAGTGATTATAACGTTCCGGATAAAGAGGTTGTCAGTTGTGTTGTATCATTTATGCTATTTATTGTTTTTCCATGAGGTATCACAAGGAAGCATCTGTATGTCAAGTGTGCAATGACTTTTTTCAGAAATTAATGACTGAATATTGCAAGAATCATTAAGGTCAATTTTTCAAATGTCTATTTTTGGTGCATAGCCTCACCTAGAGTAAGCACTTACTGTGAGTTATATGGCTGAAATATCACATACAGCATCTTATTGATGTCCTAATCTGTGTTTCTGGTGTATTAAACTTTAGAGCCTGGGGAATGCAATCTGAAAATTATTCCTGTAATGTCATGTAGACTTCACTGTGTTAAAATGGCATTATCTGCAAATAAATTCCAACTCCCTTTGATTAAATAATTTCTTCTTGAAAAATATGTTTATTTATGTTCGTATGTAAAATCACTAAGTAAATGGAAGTTGTAGTCATAGAGTCATACAGAGCGGAAACAGACCCTTTGGTCCAACATTTCATTACCGAACAGGTTTCCTAAATTAAAATAGTTCCATTTGTCTATGTTTGGCCCATATACCTCTAAACTTTTCCTATCCTGTCCATATGTCTTTTAGATGTTGTAATTGTACTCACCTCTGCGACTTCCTCTGGCAGTTTGTTCCATATGCAAACCATCCTCCGTGTGAAAAAGTTGCTCCTCAAGTCCTTTTCTCTCTCTCACTTAAATTGTTGTCTCCTTGTCCCTTTAGATCTGTGACACTGCCAACTTCTTCTCTTACATTTCTTGTGAAAGTCCGTAAGAGAGAAATTCATTTTAATAGCACTGCTGCACCTTCTATCCACTCAATACATTTCATTACTCTCACTTATAGGTATTTCCTTGCCCTCTTTGCAGAAAAAGCATATAAACATTGTAACTAGGAGCAGTAGGCTATTTGATTCTTCAAGTTTTGCCATTCAATATAATCATGGCTGACCCTCTATCTCAATGCCATATTCCTACTTTCTCCACATACACCTTGAAGCCTTTAATATCTAAGAACTGATCGACATCTTCCTTGAGTAATGCAGGGAAATGGTCTCCACAGCCTTCTTTTGTAGGAAATTCCAGAGGTTCACTATCCTTTAAGTGAGGGAATGTTTTCTCCTCTGAGTTCTAAATGGCCTAGCCTGTATCCTGAAAGTGTGTCCCCTACTTCTGGACTTCCGAGCCAGGGAAATTATCATCCCTGAGCAAATATGTCAGTCCTGTTAGAGTGTTATATTTTTCAATCAGATCCCAACTCATCCTTTCAAACCCAAGTGAATACGGGCTCAGGTGAACCAATCTCTCCTCAGGACAGTCTTGACATCCCCAGCATTAGGCTAGTCAACTGTCGACGCATGCCCTCTACATCCTTTCTTCGGTAGGAGAGCAACCCTGCAGGGTGTGATCTCACCAAGGCCCTGTATGCCTGCGTAAGATATTTCCACTTCTGGACACAAATCCTTTAACACTGAAGGCCAACAAACCATTTGCCTTCTTAATTCCCGTTACATCTTTCTGTTCACTTTCATTGAATGGTGACAAGGATACCCAGTTCTTTTTGCACATCCATATTGCCCACTATACCACCAGTTAAATCGTACTCTGCCATTCTGTTCTTCATACTGAAGTGTAGAGTCTCACATTTAGCCATGTTGTACAGCTCTTGCCATGTGTTTGCATATCCACTCTACATGCCCAAGTCACCCCACAACCTCTGATCGCAACTCACGATTAAACCCAGTTCTGTGTCATCAGAAAACTTGGAAATGTAGCACGTGATTCACTCATCCAGGTCATTTGAGAAGAGAGTACCGAAGACCAGGGACAGCAATGAAGTGGAGGTGACCCTCCAACTATCTCTGTACTGCCAGCTGCAAAGGAGGAAATGCTGGTGATGACCTGGAATTCAGCGATGGAGTATTCTAGTTATTTAAAGACCTCATTAAATATCACACAGCCATATGGCACAAACAGGCAGTCATGTTGACTTAATGCCAGCAGTCAATGAAATTTGGCCATGTGCGTAATGATAACATCATCTTACCTGGATCACTCTAAATCCTGTCTTTCATCTTTGACAGTCTCATCAGGAAATAATGCAGGAGGAGGATGCAATGTCACAGGATTCCTGTAGACAAGCTTCAACACACACACCTTGCAGTGTCTAGTACAGGTAGTAAGATATTTCATGGTTTCTCATATATCACCAGTAAGAGTATGTAGTGGAGACAGGAACAAAACTAGAGACCGTGTTAGAAGATTATAGTTTGAAAGTTGCACTGGACGCTGAACATCTCAGGTCATCAATGAAGAAGATAATTTTGGAACAGAAGCAGGAAGTTTGTGAGGTGTTGTTTGGCCTATCCGTACACAATGTGCACATTTGAAGAGACAGTGATGGGGCCAGTCTTATGTAAATGCTACAATCCTGCAATGATGCCTACATTCATGGAAAGAGTAGACATCTGCATGGAGCATCACTTGTTGAACCAGAAAATGCTGGCCTTCACTAAAGGCCTGCCAGCTCTGAATGCCATTCTAGAGAGGATTGATGAAAACATAGTATTTGTCCTTTGGCTCCCTAGAGGTCTGTAGAAAAGTGCTATCCAATTCATTGTTAGCAGGGAAGTGTGGAGAAAGCAGATATGGAGGTAGGTACTAAGTTCAATGTCCTTCCACTCATCAACTGTTAATTCCCGTCTCAGTTACAGTCCCTGCAAATTTCCTCCTGACCTGATGACTGAGTCTCTTCATGTACAGATACAGATGGAGCACTCATCAGTGGAGCACTGATTCAGAGCACATAGAACAAATGGATCCCAGCAGACAAGGCAGAGGTCTGAGCAACTCGTCTCTAAATTTTACCAAAGCCACAGGAATTGCGTCATGTAGGGATAATAGAAAAAGGAAGAGTAAAAATGGCAGTTGCACAAAGTTGTGTACTTGGGTGTTTAGCTCAATGTTTCTATTTAGCTTTTCCGCAAAATTAAAATGAGTTATTTGAAACATTTTCCATATCCTCTCTTTTTGCCCGTTGTCTGGTTATGGTCTTCTCATTTATGAATGGTAAGACTAGACAAATCTGAGCATTGGGGCACCATGATTGGGATTCTTTGTTGATATTAATTTTGTTTTGTTCTGGAGGATGTGGAGGCCAAACAGGTTGAGAATTTGGCTGCAGGAGGTGGAAAAATTCATTGCTGAGGCAGAGCCTTGAAACTTCCTCTCAGTTAATTTGTCATTTTAGTGTAGTTCAGCCAAAATGGGCACACAAGACAGGAATTTTTAGCACATTTCCACAACCTTTTGCACTTGAATCAAAGGGATTGAGGGATCCAACATAGGGCAGGTTTATAGCTGGCATATGCCACACCCTTTCTGTTGCTTCTGACACAGATTCTCCCCACCAGCTCCAACCCTTAGCCTTTGATTGGCTGCTAGCTCTCACTGGGAAGGGACTTCTGCCCCTAGGGATTTGATTACAGAGGAAGGCTTGAGGGCTGTCCTCTAAGGAGTTAGTTTGGGTGTCTAGTCCCCTTTGCAGCAAGCACAGGAGACAGCTGACAAAAATGGAAGATTCTGCCCCATGTTTCTTTGAAGGGGTGCATAAGTGAATTTATAATTTCATTCTTAATTAGTCCTTGATAACAGCTTAAAAACATTTGTGTATTTTTTTTGTATGAATTATTCCCAGGATGAAATTTAGGAGTGGAGGCAAAGATGATTTCATTCTTGTTAATGCACAAGATTACTCTTTGCTTTGGAAGGTGACTAGCCTTTTATACAATTTCACCATTTTTATTTCTATTTGAGACTGATTCAACGCTAGTGAACCATTAGAAATTACTTTACTGGCCCAAAGATATTCTAGCTTTTTAAATTCTAAATTCTATTTAGATCTCAAAATCAAACTTCTACATTTTATTTCCTAACTAATAGTGAATGAACTATAGTTTTTCTGGGCAAATTTCAGTATATCTTGATTTATACACCTACATCATAATGATACTATGGGCTAATTGTTGATTTTAAATATAAAAATATATCTGAGAGGATTCATTTTTAAGCACCATCTATGAAGCTGTTATGTGGCTTTCCATTTGTCGGTTCCATGAATGTAAAGTTCATTTGATTCTGTTTAGAAGTTATAATAGTGAGTCATCAAATCATTTCCGTTCCACTGTGCAGAGATTTAGGTCACACTTTTGTGCCTCTCTAGAGATGTGTTGAAACCAAGCTGCTTGTTCTGGAATAAGTCATTGCTCGTGTTGATTGAATCAGGTTGTCACAATAAGGTCAGTGGTTTTTGGCTGATGCTACCATGTTTCCAGGAGCCCTGCACAATTATTGTAGTGACAGCAGTGGCTTTCCATCGATGAGTGAGATGTCCAAAACTGCAGGTGCCCTGTTTGTGAAGCAGCTGTCAAACTATCTTGTTAGGACGGTTTTCTAGGTCGTTTACTTTTCTGTTAATTAATATAAGCCTGATCCAATACAACTACCTTAATATATTCTGAGCAAAATCTCTTTTTGTTTCACATAGATCTTGGGAATATTTCTGCACTGAATGCAAAATGAATTATTTTGGTTATTCAGTCATTTATAATTATGTAAGAAAAGCAGCAGACCTATATATATTGTATATTAGACAAGATAACTCTTACACTACAAAAGGACACTATGTCATTATATACCTGTATCAATTATAGAGTCATAGCGACATGCAGCATGGAAATAGACCCTTCAGTCAAACCTGTCCATGCTGACCATAATCCTAATCTAAATTAGTCCCACCTGCCTACACTTGGCCCATATCCGTCCAAACATTTTCTATTCATGTACATGTCCAAATGTCTTTTAAATGTTGTAACTGTACCCGCATCCACCAGTTCCTCTGGAAGTTCATTCCACACACGAACCACTGTCTGTGTAAAACAATTGACCCTCATGTCTTTTTTAAATCTTTCTCCTTTCACCTTAAAAATATGGCCCCTAGTCTTGAAATTCCCCACCCTAGGGAAGAGATACCTGCCATTCAACTTATCCACACCCTTCATGATTTTATAAACCTCTGTAAGGTCACCCACAGCCTCCTATGCTCCAGTGAAAAAAATCCCAGCCTATTCTCCTCGAAACAGCAATCTAATTTCTCTTGCTCCTGCAATCTCCCCTTATCTCTGCAATTTCTTTGCATTAAATTTTGTTCTTATTTGTTAATGGGGATGGGCGCGTGGATGTTGCTGTTAAGATTCTTTGTTACCCATCTCTAATTGTCTTCGACAGGATGAAGGTGAGCCACCTTCCTGAACTGCTGCAGTCCATGTGGTATGAGTATACCCCATAACGATATTAGGTAAGGAGTTCCAACATTCTGACCCAGTGACAGTGAAGGAAAGGTGATGTATTTCAAGCTGAGGGTAATGTGTGGAGATTATTTATCCACTACTCTTTTGAAACTTTCTTTCTACTTGCTTCCAAACTTTTGGATAATGCATTCTAAGTGAGGATAAGGTTGGTTATCAATGGCTCTTGTTGCTCTGGTCTGTAAACGCCATAGGTCTCACAATTGGAGATGGGATTGTCAATGTCCTTTGAGATCTCAGGCCACCAAACCACTGACAAAAATCTGGATCTTCACTTAGAGATCTTCAAGTGTCATTGGTGCAGCTTTCCTGGGATAACATTCTGCAGCGAAGCTGGAATGGCTACTTGTTCATTATACATGTATACATTGTCCAAAATTGCATAATACTATCAAAATATGCTTTCATGACGAGCCCAGTGGGCTTCAGTGTGGCCAACCTTTTACATAATACCAATGGATGCTGAGACACCCTGTTAGATCTATCTCTGTCAATGTGACACAATGGACTGAATTTTGTGAACAAACATAATACCATACCTAGTAAAACTGTTAACCATCCCTCTGAAGCGTACATCTGCCATTGTTTGCAGTTTTCCTTGCATAAATAAAATTTCATAGGGGAACTTCACGAGAGAAATCAAAATCTTTGTATTCTTGGAGGCATTCTTGCTAGTTCTACAACTTCCAATAGAGAAACCAGAGATTTGTGATCTGTTTCCACACCCACTTTCAGATCAAGGATGTAGTCATGTAACCAAGACAGCCTCCTTCTCAATCACAGCATATTGTGTGTCTGATAATGCTGTGATGTGTAATAGGCTAGTTTATGACACCCATCTGGTTGCTCCTGGAGCAGCACTGCTACGAATCCTGTGGCAGCTATGATGGTTGATTAGAGCAGTTTATAGTGTACAGATAGATCCATGGATATCCTTGATCCTCTGAAAAGAATTCTCTTGATGCTGTTTCTATACCAATTTTGCATCTTTTTGAGCGTTTGTCCCAAATGTTCAGAAAAATGAGGCAAAATGTTACCAACTAGTTCACCATCCCTAAGAATCTTTGGAGATCCTGCACAGACTTTTGATTGGGAAGCTTCACAATGGGATTCATTTTCTGAGGATCCACCATTATGCCATTGCTGTTGTCAGTTCTGAGAGCTGAAAAAAAATTCTTTGAGAATTCAGACGTCTTTAAGGGTGACCTTGTTGATGGTAAGTGTTTCAGGACTGCATGCACTCTCTGATCATGCTCTTCAGCTATTTCTCCATGTATCAACATATCATCCACATGGCACATGACTTCTGAGATGATCAAAAGTTGTAATATGTGAAAACATATCTTCCAAATGGAGCTTTGAATGTTGTAAGTAATCTTAATGACTTGTCCGTTGGAACCTGTCAGAATCTATTAGTTGCATTGAGTTTTGTGAAAACTCTAGCTTTGGACATGTTAACCACACTGTCATCAATTGTAGACATTGGGTAAGATTTCTCTCAAATAAGCCTGTTGTGCTCTGCAAGGCAAACACAAATTTGAATAGTCCATTAGGCTTGGGTTCAAAAATCATAGCTGAGTAACAGTCCATTGGTTTCAGGATTGGAAAATGACACCCATTCTTGTAATTTCTGCAAGTTGCAATCATTCAATTATGGGTTGCCTGTGTATATAGACATAAGGGTTTTGGTATCTTTCTTCAGTGGAATGCTGTATTCAACATCCTTTAATCTTAAAAAAAGATTTAGAGCATTCCTGTTCAAAGGAGCTTCTTAGCATTTGCTGTTTAATCTCTTTGAAAGAGATTGAGAACAAGGCATCTTTTTCTATTTGAGTGAGAATTCTTCATTGTGATGTATGAACAGGTTTTATACTATTTGATTTGTAGCATTCCATATGTCTACTAGAACATATAGTTTCACTGTTGCTAGCTGTAGATGGTGTTTTCTCAATCTTGGCTCACTATCTGATAGTGTACTGACACTGAACCCAGTGTCTAATTTGAATTTTGTGAGATGGCTACTGACATAAATAGTTTGCCAAAATGTAAGGCCTGGATCACCCATCTCCCCTAGAATCATTCAGGCTTCCTTCTGTTAGAGACTGCTCCACATCATTGTTTGGGTGGCTACTTGATTTCTAAAGCAGTTTTTAGGGCAAGTCAACAAAAGAGTTGATCTGTAATTGATCTGTAATCTACATTTCAATACAAGGAGGCAAGTGAACAAAGCAGATGAGTGGAGGGCACGGATAGATACTTGCAAGTTTGATATCAGAATTATGATAGGAACCTACTTAAAAGAGAATTGAAACAACTGTGAAAAGTTAGAATACGCTTGAAAGAACATCAATTCAGGCCAAATGAGTTGAACTGAGGGCATTCAGATTACTGAGTGTATAGCAATTCTCAAACAGAAGGGAATAGAAGAGTCACAGTGTCAGCAAAATTCTCAGAAGTGCAGAACAAAGGGGCAGTATTATAAAGGATTTTCTTGGGATAAATTCAGTGTAAATTGTAAAGACAATGCCTTATTGTTTTCGTAATTTTTAAAACTGTGAACTGAAATGAGAAAGAAGTGTTTTGAAACGTGGGGATTCATGAAGATGACTGCTTGTTTTGAAAGTAAGGAATTTGATACCTATTGTAAATGCTATTTGTGCAGCTGTGGGTTTCAGCAATGTGCTGATGAACTGGAGCTAAGAGGTTGTTTACAAGTGAAGCTGATTTGTGTGGATTAGTGGCCAGTTGTCAATAATAAAGGTCATCTGCCTGACAACAACAATGTGATTGGTTGTCAGGTAGCTGAGACAGAGAGAAGACAAGACAGAGAGAAGTTAGTCAATCCAGAGGAGAAACCAGCAGGTCTGTAGCAGACAGAAAACTCTCTTTCTTTCAGTTCTCTGCACTTTGAACCTGAAGAAAACCAGTTTATCTTTCCTTCAGCAAGTGCTACCAGTTGTGGCTTTGAATTGGTTAAATCAGGGACGTTCCATAAGCAAAGCAGCCACAAACCAGTGGAAGCATTCAGAAAGAAGAAGGTTGAGGAGAAACCTCTGGATTAATAAGAATAAGCCATCAGATCTTATGAACAAATAACATAGAACTGTTTTTCCAGATCTGCTCCCAAGGCCACATGTATTTTCCTCCTGTTTATGTTTATCTGTCTTTTTGTTTGTGCAAGGAGGAGTTTATAAAGAGCTTGGAGTTTTAATTTGTACAATTTGTAAGATTTAATTTAATTATTTGTCTATTGCTAGAATCAAAATGCCTGTTCTGGCTAAAGTGAAGTACAGAAATGTGCTCTGTACCTTCAATCAAACTTGGTCTAAAAATCAGGTAGTTTGGGGATTTCATACATTGCTTGAAAAAAAAATTTAAAAATTAAAGATTAAAAACATAATTGTGATTACCTTGGGAACAGTGGGGCTTGATTTCCAACATGCCATTACAGTGAGCCATGACAAAATAAATAAATGGTGGAGAATTCCTACATTACAACCAGAAGAATTTTATTCGCCAGTAAATAGTAATCCCAACAAGAAACACAGCAATTTGACATCTGTCCATATGGAATGACCACAGTTAGCTGTAAGTGTTATATATGGGAGATCATCTTAATGGTATTGATCATAATTCACTTAGATTTAGATTAGTTATGAAAAAACAATAGCGATAGAGAAAGATTTTTTTTAAATCTGAGAAAGGCCAATTTCATTAAGCTCTGATATGATTTAACAAAAGCAGACAGGCAGCACCCATTTGAAAGTAAATCAGTGTCAGACCAGTGGGAGGCATTCAAGGAGATGCAGAGAGTGCAGAACAAATATATTTGCACAAAGAAAAAGACTCAGAAATAACAACTCCCTTGAATGTCAAAGACCTTGCAGAGGAGGATAAGGCAAAAAAAAGGAAAACTTATGTCACATGCCAAGAGTTCAATACAGCAGAGTGGTGTAAGGAATTTGGGAAGGTGAAATTAAAGGGGAATTTTAGAATATAAAGAAAGAGCATGAAAATTTAATGCCAATATAATCAGGAAAATCCAAAGATATTTCATAAATTAATAAAACACAAGAGTATAGGAAAGAGGAGGGTGAAGTAGGGTCAGACACCAAAGTGATTTTGAGGCAGAAAATGAATATTTTGCTTTTTTTCACTCAATCATGGGATGTATGTGTCACTGACTAGGGCAACATTTATTGTCCATCCTAATTGACTTGGCATAGATGGTGGTGAACTGCTTTTTTGAATTGTTGTTTCTTTGAGGTATAGATGCACTCCCAATGCTGATCGGAAGGGAGTCCCAGGATTTTGGCTCAGTGACAGTGAGGAAAAGGTGATATAGTTTGAGTCTGTTATCACAAAGAGAAGGAGGAAACAGACCATGGAAGTAAGGAGGTCAAGGCTTGTGCATTCATAACATGATCAAACAGATTGCGAATAAATTTGCAAATCACTCTAATACCAATGGCATGCAGTAAAAAGGGAGGGATTTTTGATTAGCTATGTGATTGGAAGAAATTCTGATCATCTGTCATCACTATTGATAGCTCTGGGCTGCAAGGTGCATATAAAAGTGCATATTGCCACAGCAGCTCAAACTTTGGGGCTTGGGGTGGGGCAGAGTTTGAGATGGGGTGGGGATGGATGAGTGTTGTGGATCAGATTGGCAACAATAGCAGAGAGTTTAATCCCTGTTCTGGCTGAAGTGAATTCAGGATCTGCTTCCTTTCCCTACCTGTGGTGTAGTCTATGATACTGGGTTGGACCTTTCTTTGGGAAGTGAACTGAACAAAAAGATAACATAGTGAAGAAAGAAAGGTTAAGGTGTTTCAAATCCTTACAAGTGGATAAAACACTAGTTCAGGGTGAAATCTATATCCTAAAGTGTTAAAGTTAACAAGAGAAAAATTAACAGAAATGCTAAGGTTTATATTCCAAATCTTCTCTGGCTACAAGCACAGCACTGGAGGACTGCTAACATTGTACAATATTTTTTAAAAAGGGAGGAAAGGGTAGCACTGGTAATTTATAGCCAGCCTGATCTCATTGTTGGACAAATGACTGGAAAACATTCATTGATTCATTAAAGAAAGGTCATGACTCACTGATTTGATTGAATTTTTGAGGAGATAGAAAAGAAGTTTGATGAGGTAGTCTGTTTGATGTTGTCTACATGGCCTTTAGCAAGATTTTCGAGCAGAAGCCACATAGCAGACTGTCTAGAAAATTGAATTATCGTAAGATCCAAAAGAAAGTGGCAGGTTGAATCTGAAGTGGGCTGAGGGGCAGAAAACAAAAGGTAACGGCCAACTGGTGCCTTAATGGTAGTAGGATCTTTCCAAGGCAGTTCCAGACAGCTTAGTACTGGGCCACTCGCTGTTGTGGTATATATCAATGAATGAGATTTAAATGTAGGACGGTAAGATTAAGAATGCAGATTGACATTGGGATGTGTGGGATGTTCAGATAGTACCTAGCTGCAGGATGGAGTGGAATCACTGGCCCTCATTCCCTACTGTTGGATCCAAGTGCCACACACTGGCACACTGTCTCAGCTGCCCCGGCAAAACTTAATGAAGGGAAAAAAAATGATTATGACAGCAAACAGTCGGACGTCTTCCTTAGTAAAGGCAACACCTGGGATTGAAATATTCCAAGTGACCAAAATAATCATTAAATTCTAGACCAAAGATAATCAACACCATAGAACCTCTACAGTGCAAACAGAAAACATTCGCCCCATCAAGTCTGCACCAACCCTCTGAAGAGCATCCCACAAGACCCAGCCCTCAACACGATCCACAGATTTACCATACTTGAAATGTTAATTCTGTTTCTCTCTCCACAGATGCTGCCAGACCTGTTGAGTTTCTTCAGCATTTTCTGCTTTTATTTCAGATTTCCAGCATTTCAGGATCTTGCCTTTATTCAAGCAGTAAGCTGGTGAAATTTTACTATTATAGGTTGCAAATGTGTTTATTACAGAAATAATTCATAGCCCTTTTAGGCACTTTTAATCAGAGGGCCAGATATTCCCCTCCTGATACTGAACAAGCCTGTATTGGGAAGTGCAAACTAAAGTCATGCAGGGCTTCAATTTAAAAATAGTGTCTACTGGGAATTGGCTGTTATTTTCCTCAGAGAAAGACATTTTCAGGTTGTAATCCAATGTACATGTATTGGAAACAATGGTCATGGGATCAGCATTTAAATGTCTGCTGCAAACGCAGTTTTCCCTGATGCTGGTATTTTCATAGGAATGTGTGGGTTTGTGAAGGCTATTTGTGAGCCTTGGAAGGAAGCCTGATATGGAGTCAGGAACCTTTCACAAGTCATTTTGAAAGGTCTTGTCAAATTCAAATATCATAACACAATGGTGCATGATGATTTACATATGTTTTCAATGCAATGATTGATCAATGGACATTGTCCATAAAATAGAGTTGTAGAGTCATAGAGTCATACAGCACAGAAACAGGCCCTTTGGTCCAACCAGTCCATACCAAACATAATCCCAAACTAAACTCGTCCCACCTGCCTGCTCCAGGCTCATATCCCTCCAAACCTTTCTTGTTCATATATCCATTCAAATGTCTTTTAAACGTTGTAATTGTACCCGCATCCATCACTTCATCAGGAAGTTCATTCCACACGCAAACTCTGCATAAAAAATTTGCCTCTTACATATTTTTTTAAATCTCACTCCTCTCAAATTAAGAATGTGCCCCCTAGTCTTGAAATTCCCCATCTTAGGAAAAAGACAACTACCATCAACTCTATCTATACCTCTCATTATTTTAGAAACTCAGGTCACCTCTCAACCTCCTACACTCCAGTGGAAAAAGTCCCAGCCTATCCAGCCTTTCCTTATAACTCAAACCTTCCATATCCAACAACATCCTGGAAAATCTCTTCTGAACCCTCTCCAGCTTGATAATATCCTTCCTATAACTGGTCGACCAGAACTGAACACAGTACTCCAGAAGAGGCCGCATGAATGTCCTGTACAACCTCAACATGACTTCCCAACTCCTATACTCAAAGGACTGAGAAATGAAGGCAAGCATACCAAACGTCTTTTTAACCATCCTGACTATATGTGATGCAAACACCGTTTTTCACCCCATTGACCCATTTGATCAAAATCCCTTTGTAATCTTAGAAAACCTTCTTCACTGTCAACAATGCCATCAATGTTGGTGTCATCTGCAAACTTAGGTAGTTGGCCATTAAATTTATCATCATTATGTGACTGCTTTCATACATAACAGTACATTATCCAGTAGGTCACATATTCTTCTGAATTCAACAGTATTGGGAATCAGATTTAAAAGGGTAATTGTGACACTGTGGTTTGAGTTTTACAATTATTTGAATTTGAGAAAGTCTTCCAATCTTTGAAAAATGAAACAAACAGATGTCAGTCTTTTATGTTTAGAACATCATTGAAACTTTTAAAAAAAAATGTCTCGTCAACTTATCAAGCAACTTGAAACACTGTATGGTATTGAACTGAACTCAAGCGAACTACACAGGTGCTTAAAAATCTGTAGAGACAAATCAAACAAAACAGCAACATTTCGAATCATTGTTTATTCAGACATATGTGTTTATTATGAATGCTAAGCCCAGGAGGGATTGCTGACAGTGTTATGGATTGAACTGAGCCCTTCTTTTGATTGAGCTTCATGAGAGATAATAGGGTTTTCTGATGAGGTTTTTGAATCTGTATTTATTTTGACAGATTAATGAGCACTTTAAATGAATGGCTTTTGAAAAGGAGTTTGAAATGATGTGTTTTATTGACATTAATATGAGTTTCTAAGAGGAATGCATTTTTTAGAAATTATTGTTTGAAAGACTAATTGTTTTCTTTTTCAATTTCCTGAGCATTTCAAAGACCTCCCTGTGTTATCAAATAGCTCATGAGTTTTGTATATTGTAGATAGTGGGTGACTGAGTGTGGAGGATGTGGTGGGGCATGGAGGATGGATGGGAGCATGCAGAGCTTGGAGAGGGCCATGGGACAGTTGGGGAGATTGAAAGGTATGAGGGGATACAGCTAGGAGCTATAGCAACCATGTTGAGAGCTGGGCCTATGTCCCACTGAACAAAGATGGACCTGCGTTGCAGACAGTTCAGAGGCGTTTTACTAGATTGATACCTGGATGAGTGAGTTCTCTTCTGAGGACATATTAACAGCAGTTCTTGTTTCCACTGTAGTTCAGAAGAATGAGACGTGACTTGGTTTAGCATCCTCAATGATTTTGACAAGGTGAATGTGGAAAAGATGTTTTCTCTTGTGGTTATTCGAGAGCAGGAGACACTGTTTTAAAATTTGGGAAGGCCTAGGTGGCTCATAAACTGTTGATTTTATATGCATAATTTTTAATTTTAGTTGCTGTAAGTTTGGATTGTGGTTCTGAATTAAAAACTTCTGGGTTTTTCTGTCTGTCTGAATTTAATGATTAACTGGTAAATATTTCTGTAAAGGTAATTTATTTTTAAAAATCAGTCTTTTGAAGCCTGACTATAGAGTGAATGGATTTTGTACACTAATGGACTTTGTTTATTTCAGATTATTTGCTACCCAGCGTGGTAAATAATAGGGCCTCCAAGTCTTGTTCTAGATGTGATTTTGGTTTCGATTTTGTCTTTGGGTAGTAGTTGCCCCTATGAAGATCTTGGCTATATAGAGCAGTCCTTCTAAGAACGGGATGATAGATTTTGTAAAATAGATTGTCTTAGAGTGAAAAGTTCGTGTTCGTCCCAGACTAAAAGTCAGATCAGCCATGATCTTGCTGAAAGATAGAACAGGCTTAAAAAGATGAATGGCCCACTCTTGTTCCTTGTTCATATGTTTGTATGTTTGTAGAAATGCTGGGATAAAAACTGGAAGTGGTTACTTCGGATGAGTATATTGAAGCTCAGTTGTATGACAGTTCTAGGAAAAAGCTATCTGCAGTTCCAGTTTAAAAGTTGAAGTCACAAGTGAATTAAACCTAACAAGGTGTTAGGTGCAGAGAGCCTGGTGTAAGTACGATACCAGTGATGTTTTGGGAGTTATACTATGAGTGGTTTGGATATTATACAAAAGTGGAGAGCGGTGGGGAGAGTTGTTCATTCCTGCCCTTTTGTTTGCTTCCACAGTCTGAGGTAAGGGTCCCTTGATCAGGGCTATGAGATATGGTCACTGACAGAACCAGTAAATTTTTAGTGCTTGTAACAGAACAGTTGGACTTAATGGGCTGATTAGCCTCTTTCCACACTGCAGGTTTTCTATGATGCTATAATTACTGAAGGAAAATGGTAGACTACAGATGGAAGACTTTTTGGAAGAGGACTTGTTTCCCTTGAAGAAAGCAAGAGAAAACCACCTTGTGATTCTTTTCCTTAATGACATTACTCAGTAAATGTGAATGGGAGTCTCCCACAAGCAGTGAAGAGGAAGATGCAAGACTGCAAGGGATGGATAAATAAACAAGGGACCAGTCCTTAGGGAGATCAAAACACTCTTGACTGTTGTCTATAAGTTTCCTGAATTAAATATTGGAAAAGCACTGCAAAAAATCATTAAACTGAATTATTTCCTAAATAATGGAGTGACAGCAACCAATTTATTTGTAAGTTAATGGGGAAATCACATTTTAGAAGTTTTAAAAATTGCCTATTGGTGTATTTGGGTCTAAATAGGAGCATAATATTTGCAGTCTTCTTGAAAACCCAAAGACATAAGCAAATGCTCACAATCATGATTAATTTGATTGAGGGACATGATGAGTTTTGCTGACAAGGCCAGTTTGAAATGCTTTTTTTTATTGAATGACAACAAAAGACTGCTGAAGCTCTTTCTATGCTGAATGTAATTTGTGCTGGAAATTTGTTGACCTTTTGTGCTGGTTCAGCAGATTTCAGCTGCATTACACTGAAAAAAAGAAAGCATAAACCAATGGAAACAGTAAAACAATGGAAAATGATGAGGTAACAAGGTGTAGAGCTGGATGAACACAGCAGGCCAAGCAGCATCATAGGAGCAGGAAGGCTGACGTTTGTTGGGGTGGCTGATCAATTTTCATTCGGTTTGTTCAGTGTGATAGTGACAAGGTAGATCTTGATTTTTGCTCCTATCGGTACTGGATATCGAGGTGGGGCAGTATTGAAGATAACAGTGCCTACCTCATCCCTGGTTCCCAGTTTCCTCTTGCCCCGGACCACTTTGGCGAAGGAAGGATAGTTGCGGGTGCTGGTGGGGGGTAGAGCGTATGTGTGAAGATGAGGAAATTGATAGTGGTGGTGTTGTAAGAGTTACCGGCCTGCTTTTTTTTAATTCATTCACGGGATGAGGGTATCACTGGTTAGGCGAGCATTCATTGCCAATCCATGATTGCCCAGGGGGAAGTTAAGGGTAAATCATATTGCTGTGAATCTGGAGTCATATGTGGACCAGACCAGGTAAGAATGGCAGTTTCCTTCCTTAAAGGACACCAGTGAACCAGATGGGTTTTTCCGACAATCAACAATGGATTCATCGTGATCATTAGACTCTTATTTTTAGATTTTTATTGAATTCAAATTCCACCAACTACCATGGCAAGTTTTGAACCAGGGTCTCCAGAACATTATTACAGAGATAGTAGGAACTGCCGATGCTGGAGAATCTGAGATAACAAGGTGGAGAGCTGGATAAACACAGCAGGCCAAGCAGCATCAGAGGAACAGGAAAACTGATGTTTCGGATCTAGACATATTCTTCAGAAATGGGGGAGGGGAAGGGGATTCTGAAATAAATAGGGATAGAGGGGGAGGTGGATAGAAGATGGATAAAGGAGAAGATAGGTGGAGAGCAGACAGACAGGTCAAAGAGGCGGGGATGGAGCCAGTAAAGGTGAGTGTAAGTGGGGAGTTAGGGAGGGGATAGGTCAGTCCAGGGAGGACAGACAGGTCAAGGAGGCGTGATGAGGGTAGTAGGTAGGAGATGGGGGTGGGCCTTGAGGTGGGAGGAGTGGATAAGTGGGAGGACAGGTTAGGAAGGCGGGTACGAGCTGGGCTGGTTTTGGGATGCGGTCGGGGGAGGGGAGATTTTGAAGCTTGTGAAGGCCATATTGATACCATTGGGCTGCAGGGTTCCCAAGCAGATGCTGTTCCTGCAACCTTCGGGTGGCATCGTTGTGGCACTGCAGGAGGCCCAGGATGGACATGTCGTCCAAGGAGTGGGAGGGGGAGTTGAAATGGTTCACAACTGGGAGGTGCAGTTGTTTGTCGCGAACCCAGCGTAGGTGTTCCACAAATCAGTCCCCAAGCCTCCACTTGGTTTCCCTGATGTAGAGGAGGCCACAACGGGTACAGCGGATGCAGTATACCACATTAGCAGATGTGCAGGTGAACATCTGCTTGATGTGGAAGGTCTTCTTGGGGCCTGGGATGGGGGTGAGGGGGGAGGTGTAGGGCAGGTGTAGCACTTCCTGCGGTTGCAGGGAGAAGTGCCGGGGGTGGTGGGGCTGGTGGGGAGTGAGGAGCGGACAAGGGACGTCCCACCCACAGACTCCAACCTCATCGTTCCCCAACCCCGCACCGCCTGCTTCTATCTCCTTCCCAAAATCCACAAACCTGACTGCCCTGGTCGACCCATTGTCTCCGCCTGCTCCTGCCCCACCGAACTTATCTCCACTTATCTCAACTCCATTTTCTCCCCCTTGGTCCAGGAACTCCCTACCTATGTCTGTGACACCACCCATGCCCTCCATCTCCTCCAAAACTTCCAATTCCACGGTCCCCAATACCTCATCTTTACCATGGACATCCAGTCCCTGTACACTTGCATTCCCCATGCAGATGGCCTAAAGGCCCTCCACTTCTTCCTGTCCCGCAGGCCCAACCAGTCCCCCTCCACTGACACCCTCATCCGCTTAGCTGAACTCGTCCTCACCCTTAACAACTTCTCTTTCAATTCCTCCCACTTCCTACAGACAAAGGGGATGGCCATGGGTACCCACATGGGCCCAAGCTATGCCTGCCTCTTTGTAGGATACATGGAACAATCCCTCTTCCGAAGCTACACTGGCCCTATCAACCACCTGTTCCTCCGTTACATTGATGACTGTATCGGCGCCGCCTCATGCTCCCACGAGGAGCTCGAATAGTTCATCCACTTCACTAACACCTTCCACCCCAACCTTAAGTTCACCTGGACCATCTCCGATACCTCTCTCTCCTTCCTGGACCTCTCTGTTTCCATCTCTGGCAACCACATGGAAACCGATATCCATTTCAAGCCTACTGACTCCCACAACTACCTAGAATACACCTCCTCCCACCCACCTTCCTGCAAAAATGCCATCCCCTATTCCGAATTCCTTTGCCTCTGCCGCATCTGCTCCCGCGATGAGGCATTCCACTCCCGGACACATCCCAGATGTCCTTGTTTTTCAAGGACCGCAACTTCCCCTCCACAGTGGTCAAAAATGCCCTCGACCATGTCTCTCGCATTTCCCACAACTCATCCCTCACACCCCCTACCCGTAATAACAACCAAAACAGAATCCCCCTCGTCCTCATGTACCACCCCACCAACCTCCGGATCCAACGCATCATCCTCCGGCACTTCCACCATCTGCAATCTGACCCCACTACCAAAGACATTTTTCCCTCTCCACCCTTATCTGCTTACCGGAGGGACCACTTTCTCCGTGACTCCCTTGTCCGCTCCACACTCCCCTCCAGCCCCACCACACCCGGCACTTTTCCCTGCAACCGCAGGAAGTGCTACACCTGCCCCTACACCTCCCCCCTCACCCCCATCCCAGGCCCCAAGAAGACCTTCCACATCAAGCAGATGTTTACCTGTACACCTGTAATGTTGTATACTGCATCCGCTGTACCCGTTGTAGCCTCCTCTACATCGGGGAAACCAAGCGGAGGCTTGGGGACTGATTTGTGGAACACCTACGCTCAGTTCGCGACAAACAACTGCACCTCCCAGTCGTGAACCATTTCAACTCCCCCTCCCACTCCTTGGACGGCATGTCTATCCTGGGCCTCCTGCATTGCCACAACGATGCCACCCAAAGGCTGCAGGAACAGCATCTCATATTTCGCTTGGGAACCCTGCAGCCCAATGGTATAAATGTGGATTTCATAAGCTTCAAAATCTCCCCTCCCCCGACCGCATCCCAAAACCAGCCCAGCTCGTCCCCGCCTCCTTAACCTGTCCTTCCTCCCACCTATGCACTCCTCCCACCTCAAGTCCCACCCCCATCTCCTACCTACTAACCTCATCACGCCTCCTTGACCTGTCTGTCCTCCCTGGACTGACCTATCCCCTCCGTAACTCCCCACCTACACACACCTTTACTGGCTCCAACCCTGCCTCTTTGACCTGTCTGTCTTCTCTCCACCTATCTGCTCCTTTATCCATCTTCCATCCGCCTCCCCTTCTCTCCCTATTTATTTCAGAATCCCCTTCCCCTCCCCCATTTCTGAAGAAGCGTCTAGACCCGAAACGTCAGCTTTCCTGCTCCTCTGATGTTGCTTGGCCTGCTGTGTTCCCCAGAACATTACCTGGGTCGCTGGATTAACAGTCCAGTGATAATACAACTAGGCCATCGTCTCTTAAAAGATGATGATTATTAAGGCTGTTGAGTGAGGTCAGTTGGGATTTTCTGTTTGTAATTTGGTTTGTGGAAGTGGTGAGGATCAGTCTAACTGTCTGGACATGGTTCCAGCAGCAGATTGGGAAGAGGTTTCCCAGGCAGGGATAGAGGAGCTCCTCCTCTGCCGCTCGGCTCTAGCAACTGCAGGCTGACCTGCATAGGGTTCTCATCACACTGTTGGCTTCACTGTAAGGTCTCTTTTTATGACAACTGGAGAAGGTACATGTCTCTACTAAAAGTGTTCGCTCCTGTATTTCCCTTTCATTTCATCCTGCTGCAGCTTTTAAGTTGGAAAGCCACTGATGGAAAATTCCTCCGGCTTCGTGGGCATGCCTGCCATCCCAAATTGCCTGTGTTGAGAAAGTCATAGTGAGCTTCAGACTCCCAGTTAAGCCTAATGATGTGGGGATGCAGCAGCCTACAGGAATCTCCTGCCTATTTTATCCAGTTTAATGTTGGTTTCCTAGACTTCCTAATTGAAACCAAGGTGACTGTACATATGCCAATCAATGGCTGGGCGATCTCAGTCAAAGGGGCTGATGCATACTAAATACTCTTGTCTGCTTTCTTACTGGTTAGCAGGAAAGGGTATTTTCACATTACTTTTGATGAGAGGTTACTTTCTACACTTTGGAGGTTTCCTGCAGCACATCAAGATTGGTGCTGTTTACACTATTGTAGAGAGAGACCTACAGCACAGAAATAGGCCTTTCTGCCCAACCCATCCATGCCGGTCTAAAATAAAACCTTGGATTGAACCTCCAATCAGGACACACATGACCAGTAATAGTTCCCTCAGAAGTGTCCTGTTGTAGTTGCACAACAGAGAAAGGATCAGGAGAGAGAAGACCAACACAGAAGGGCCAGCAGAGAAATGCAGCCTGTAGAAGGTACTAGTCACAAAA